ATATAGTAATAATAATAATAAATTAATGTTAATTCAATACAAAAACTTGATGGCCAAAAGAGGGTAACAGAGAGTGGAGAGAGAGAGAGAGAGAGAGAGATTAAACAAAAAGTATTGTTAAAAGTTAGTTTTAATTGTGATTTTAACCATTTTTTAGGTCATGAATATCTACTTAGACTTAAAGGCCAGATGTTATATATGGAGGAATGGAAATGTATGATCTATTTGGCTGCACCCAAGTTAGTCAATACAATAATTAATTATTGCAATCATATAATCCCCAAAAACACATAACATGTTAAGTCACTCGTTATAATTAAGCAGCGATTAGTGTACAGACAGACGAATAAATCATAAGAAAAAATATTATATTATTAAAACTCATTCCCACATAAATATTTCGTTTAGTCTGCGAGTAATACTTTTGTATATATTATTTACCTTTATGTTTCTTTGTGCTGCTAATGAATCTGAAACATTTAGTAACAGTTAATTAACAGATATTAAATATACAGTACACTATACAACGGGAGTGGGAAATGTATGTTACGAATAGATTGGTTATGCAATCGATGTTTAATACAATTTTTGAAATTAAAAAAACTAAATAATAAGACATTTTTTCATTTGTTTCACTTATAATGCAATCGATTGTATAGTATAGCAGATGTGGAGGCCATGACTCGTACCGGACTTTATTTAAACGATTTAAGTCTTCATGATTTTAGTCGTGATATGGTATGGGATTTGGTGTTTAGTGTTGTGTTTGGTTGTGATATGTATTGTCTATGTAAAGGCGTTGTTTGCTAGTTTGTCCATGATTAAATCCGAAACAATATTTTTAAATATTTTGTTTAATGAAATACATGTTAAAAATTGATTAGTATTTTTCATTCGCTCTAAATTTAATTTACATAAATTACAGACCGATTTGAATGGTAATCACAACATACAGACACACATACAGTATGTGCTGTTGTTTCTCCCATTCATTTATTATTGCGATTAGTTTTGAATTAAAACTTTTAATTTTTTCTAAATGAAAATTGGATAAATTTTTCAAATACAATGTAAATAAGTTTGATTTGAAATACATTTCTCGTGTGATTTACAAACCCTTCCCTCACTTGAAATCTATAACAATTTTTGACATAAATTTTCAAACCATATATTGATTACAAGAGAAAGTTTTCCCACAAAGAAAAACAACAAAACTATGTAAAACCCGTGACTTTGATTTGTTTATGAAATACCTAAAAATCACTGTTATTTCAAACAACTATTGATATATTGATATTATTTTTCTTGTTTTATTGAATAAATTAATGATTTAAACCGTAAAATACAATAGAAATTGGTTTTCATAAAAATTTTAAATACAATTTACACAACATTTCGATCAAGAAATTTCATTTTTAAGGACAAAAATGTTTTGACAATTGAAATAAAAATCACAATAAAAACAAGAAGAAAATAAATATAAATCTTATGATAGATTTTATACTTCAATGAAAAAATAATAGCAAAAGTTTTCTCTCAATAAATAAAACAAATCAAATAAATTTAGTTTAACTTTTCATTACTGATCTATAAAACAATTAATCAAATAATAAAATTTTTTAAAAAGTTAGCTCTCTCTCTCTCTCTCTCTCTCTCTCTCAATGTTTAACCAAATTTAATGATTAATTTTTTTTAATTCAAACACAAACTTAATTTACAATTGGATTATATCCTTAAATAATTAGATTAAACACAATATAAAACACAATGAATTGTGAAAAACAGTTTGATTATAAAATGTATATTTAATTGTAAAAAGTCAGTCAATAAATTGAACAAAAAAAATATAACATTAAAATTATAATTAAAAAGCCCTTATTTCTCATTGAAAATTTGAGAGAAAAATACAATCTTATATACAATACATAAAACACTATTTTTCAAAATAATAAATTGCTATTCAATGCAAATAAATCTCTGTGTGTTTATTAACAGTGTATAAAATTTATAAATTATAACATATAAATCTCAATGTAATGTTCAAATTAAACTGTATTTCCGAAACAACACAATAACGTTAAACACAATAATAAACAACGGGTTTAGCAAAAAACAGCCTTAGATTTTGACCGAGAAATTTAAATTTTCGTATAGTCTATGGTTAGTATAGTTTTGTATATCATTATCAAGATATACATTAAATTACTTGTGAGAAAAGGTTTTTGATTTTTATCTAAATTTATAATATATTTAAAAATCTCGAGTAAGAGAAAGAGTTTTTATAAATCAATGTTAAATAGTCTTAACTACAGACTCAAAAATCATTATATTTTTTTCAATGGGTCTGTAATTAAAACAAATGCACTTTTATTATTATAAAAACTAAATGTATACATAAATTGTTGGATAATTTCGGCCATCAATTACACATGCACTTTTTGTTTTGTAAATTTTCAATGCATTTCTCATTAATCCTTATGAGAGAAAATATTTTCAACAATATTACGAAATAAATAATAGGTTTTATAAAAAATATTTATAATTATTTGTTTGTTTTAAAAGATCTTATCATATGATTGTTATTTTATACCCTAATCTCAAAATACAATTAATTTTTCTTAAAAAGCAAATATTGGAGTAAAAAACAAACTAATATTTCAAAAAGTATTTTAAAAACGTGTCTAAATTATCATACATTTTAAGTCTGATATACAGTATAATATTCATCAATGATTTTTGATGTAAATCTATGTAAAGATCAATGTGTTATCGATTAGCCAAATGTGTTAATTACAATCCGGGCCCAATTTGTTACCAATATGTTTTATTTTATTGAACAGGTATTGGCGGGACAGCAACAAACAGCTGAACTCAAGTTAGCTCTAGGTATGGATTTAATAAGTAGTTTTTGCAGAGAGATAAACCTAATTTACACAACAAAATCGCTTTATTGCTTACCATTTCAATTAAAAAGCATTAATTTTCTACATTATTATTATTATTATTATTATTATTATTATTATTTTTCAAACACATGTCAAACCGAACTTAACATTGATTTTTGTGCTGAACTTTTTAAATACACTACAAATCGATGAAATAATAAATGAAACACAAAATATATGAAATAAATTCACTGAAAACACACATAAAAATCAGATCAAGAGTTACACAAAAGTAAACAATTGGAGGAATATGTGAACATAACAGCTGAACTCAAGTTAGCTCTAGGTATGGATTTAATAAGTAGTTTTTGCAGAGAGATAAACCTAATTTACACAACAAAATCGCTTTATTGCTTACCATTTCAATTAAAAAGCATTAATTTTCTATATTATTATTATTTTTCAAACACATGTCAAACCGAACTTAACATTGATTTTTGTGCTGAACTTTTCTTTATGTGATGTTTAGCTACTTTATTATTTACTTTGTGTTTTATATACTTTATTTAAGTGACTTTTGTGTGTATTTTTAGTCTAGTTCTCAATGTGTTTTCATTTGTTAACCTCCTTATACACTTGTAATTGGACGAAGAGATGAAACGGACCGACGAATTGCTTTACCAAATGATAAGTTTATCAATTTTTAAAAAATAAGACAAAATATAATCTCATAAATATTAGCACAAAAAAATAACAAACACTGCAAACAAACAAATAATTATTTCATATATAAATCCCCAAAAAGATTGCCGACAGACTTCGGAGGGGAGAGAATCCCATCGACACCTGTCAGGTATGGACACCAAAACAATTGACCACAAATTTACATACAGTTAACTAACACTTTCTACCCCTACCCCCAACCCACTACCCCACTGCCCACTCCTGGGTATATACTCATAAAGGGCACACACTGTTATGATAAGAGCCTATAGCAATTGAAATGCCACTATACGTCAGCGTATTGTGGCTACGTTCAGCATTTATACGAATTGAGCTACATGTCATACAAACTACTCGACTGAGAACGGCACTGTGTTTATAAGGTATGGTATCATCACATTATCCCCACCGACCCCTTCATCCCTCTCTCATATTAACCATATTCAGTTCAAAACACACGTAATAATCCCATAAATTAGTTTAGTTTACTGATCACAATGTGATTTATATGTGTATATGAATTATCATATTTAATTTATTTTTCACCACATTATTATTTGGGGTATATTTATGTGTGTTATATATTTTTCTCGATAGTCACGACTTTGTTTTCTCTTTTACTCCACTCTCTGTTACCCTCTTTTGGCCATCAAGTTTTTGTATTGAATTAACATTAATTTATTATTATTATTACTATATTGTATGGTATGTTAAGAAAAAATTGCTGACACTTTACCAGTTGCTGCTTAACCTAAACCTCAAATTTCATACAAATGTATTGAATTTACGGCAATTTTTTCCTACTATTACTATCAATCAGTGTTAGCACTAGTGTTACAACTGATCAATGTAGTATTTCCCGTGTGTGACAATACTATTCTCGGATATCGTTAACTTTACGGTGATATGCAGTCGCATAACACCGATGCAAGTCGTAAATATGCTTAACTCGATGTACAGTATGTTTGATGAGCTGACGGAACGGCACTGTGTTTATAAGGTATGGTATCATCACTTTATCATCACTTTATCCCCACCGACCCCTTCATCCCATGCTCTCTCATATTAACCATATTCAGTTCAAAACACACGTAATAATCCCATAAATTAGTTCAGTTTACTGATCACAATGTGATTTATATGTGTATATGAATTATCATATTTAATTTATTTTTCACCACATTATTATTTGGGGTATATTTATGTGTGTTATATATTTTTCTCGATAGTCACGACTTTTTGTTCTTTCACTCCACTCTATGTTACCCTCTTTTGGCCATCAGTTTTTGTATTGAATTAACATTAATTTATTATTATTATTACTATATTGTATGGTATGTTAAGAAAAAATCGCTGACACTTTACCAGTTGCTGCTTAACCTAAACCTCAAATTTCATACAAATGTATTGAATTTACGGCAATTTTTTCCTACTATTACTATCAATCAGTGTTAGCACTAGTGTTACAACTGATCAATGATTTGGCGATAGATTTTGAACATAGATATCGCAGGTCTTTGGCATTTAGGGAAATAAAAACAGACTCGAGAATAATATAATGCATATAATTTTCTCCTATTCTTTGTATAATAAAAAAATTCACTCATTTTTATGACAATTTAGTGTTAATATAATGGTTTTTCTAAGCAACTTATCGGTCACTACTTTTATTGCTTAATTATATGGTTTTTGTAAATGTGTTAAACGGTAAGCATTTTTAAAACTACTTTTCAGTGGCATTTTGGCCTACCATTCATTAGGGGTAATAATATTTATATTGCTTCACATTTTCCTCCAATAACCCTATTGTAAAAAACTTTAGCTTTTAATTTTTACCGATCTCTCTCTCTCTCTCTCTCTCCCTCCCTCTCTCTCTCTCTCTCTTTCTCTCTCTCCTGTTTTATGCCTTAAAAAGTAAAATAAGTGAAAAGTAAAGCAAAAAATCTCCCTCTCTCTCTCTCTCTCTCTCTCTCTCTCTCTCTCGGATATATAGGTGGAAACAATAGGGGACGCGTATATGATATGTAGCGGGGGTGGTATATTGGATGGCCAGGATAATCTGAATCACGCCCATAAAGTATGTGAGATTGCATTGGATATGATACGAGTGGTGTTCACACTCCGGGACCCTTCGAGTGGAAACAGTCTTAATATAAGAATCGGTACTCAAAATACTGAATATAAGTGTATTTTTGCTGATTGTTATGTTTATTTTGCTATGTTTTTATGGCTATTAGTCAAATATTTGTGTTGTAATACTAAATGCATTATATATTTTGTTGTTAATTTTATGATGTTTTTTATTTGCTATAATCTGACACTAAATGGAAAGTGATTTATCACATGGATTGCCAATGGATTGACAATTAGAGGGGAAAAGAAACAACAAAATCATAATTTTAAAAACTTATTGAAAACCTTTTATGAGATATAATTGAAATGAAAGAAAACACAACTCAATACATAAAACAACTCTTTTATTACTTAAATTGAAATCCCATTTTTATATATCATTTTTATTATTACTTATTTTTATAAAACATATTTCATTTACTTTTCATTTACTTTTCATACATCTATGGTTTAAGAAAAACTACTATATTTTGTTTGTGAACTCAATTTGTTTTGTTGCGAAAAATAAAGAAATATATATTTTCTTATGTTTTAAGTGTTGAATAGTTATATACAAAGAAACGTAAAAATGCATTAATAGTGAAATTTTGTACCCATTTATGCCGTTGTGTTGAAGCCCTTGAAGTTTTAATAGGTTTTTATACATTCGTGTTATTATTATTATTAAAATTTTTCTCTCATCTATAATGAGATATAAAAATTACTTTTTTATGATTCACTCATTGCATACAATATATGGTACACTATATGGCATGTATTGTGTACTAATTTTTATGCAAGAAATGTATGCATTTTTCTGCTTATTATTGTTATTATACTATGTTTTTCGTATATGTTTTTTGTTGCTATATTATAGTGAACTTGATTTTCATATAATATAATGAAATTTTACTAATTTTTCATTTCTCTCTCTCTCTCTCTCTCTCCCTCTCTCCCATTCTCTCCCCTTTATATTTGATCATTAATACAGGCATTCATACAGGTGTGGCCTTTGAATATATAAATACATATATAATTATTATTTATTCACAGCAAAAATTATTCTAACATTTATTTTCACTTTCAATGAAAGAAAAACATAATTTATATTATTCTTTGGCGCATAAAATACATTGAAATGTAAATCCCTATTAAATTGCAATTTTCTGTTTGATTACAACAAGCGATTCAATACACAAATCAATCCTGAATTCAGTCAATAATTGTAATATTAATAATTCAAGATTTGACTTAAAATCAGAAATATGAATTATTACAACAATATTAGTATTCATTGATATAAATATTTAATTTGAATTAACATTTCTTATACAATATTTTATACAAATTTAAATATTAAATACCAATACATAATACATTATTTTTCATTGAGAAAAACAATGAGATTTTTATTATTATTATTTCCGAGTCAAATGAATTGTGAGAAATCATATTAAGATTTTTATTATACAACAAATTTTATATAAGAAACTGTCTTAAATTGTTCTCTCTCTCTCTCTCTCTCTCTCTCTCTCTCTTTCTCTCTCTCCTGTTTTATGCCTTAAAAAGTAAAATAAGTGAAAAGTAAAGCAAAAAAGAGCTATCATTTCATTGATCTCATGGCTCTGGGCTTTCGTTTAATATAAGGAAATATAATTTTCTGAATATTATTTATTATAATTTCTTTTTTCATTCTCTCTCTCTCTCTCTCTCTCTCTCTCTCAGCTGTTATAATGAATCTCTCAAAAGAAGTTCACATAAAATATATTAATACTTATAATCGATTGCCAACAAAAAGACATTTTAGCCGCCAGTCAATTGATTATATGCTCTCTCTCTCTCTCTCTCTCTCCTTATTATAAGTTACAATATATAAAACTATAAATTGAAAAACACCAAAAACAATAAAAATAAAACATGGGATAAAACACACTTCAAACACATGATGTAATAATATGTAAATTTATTTTTCACGCAAACATTACAAACAAAATACAGGCGCAGGTATGTTAATGAGCTACACGTGTGTCTGTCTATCGATATGTATTTTATAGATAACCTATTGATTAACATTGGCTTTGATTTAATTTTTGCCCTCAAATTAATTTTTCCTTTTCTATAATAATCTCAATTCAATCGCTAACCAAACAAATTGCTAACAAATAAATGTTGTATAACACAAGTGGTGGGCGGTATTGTTGGCCAAAAAATGCCCCGGTATGTTTACCTATGTCAATGTCTGTAAAAACAATATCTTAAATATTTTATTAATTTATTTTGTTTTTAAAGCTACTGTTTATTTGGAGATACAGGTAATGATTGGGAAATATTTTGCAACGTTGATTTCTAGTATGCTATTTGTAAATAACCATGCTAATTCTCGCCCTTAATTAGTGAATACTGCCAGTCGTATAGAGAGCTCGAGTGAGGCCCAGATGGTGCAAATCAGTGAGATGACCAAGGGCATGTTAGACCAAAACGAATGGGATATATATGAAAGGGGAACCATTCAATTGAAAGGCAAAGGATTCATGAAGGTTGGCCCCAAAAATGTTGCCACTTTTGATGATTTAAATACACAAATCTTTGCATTTATCATTAGTTTCAGTCATTTGAATGACAAATGTATATAAATTATACACACATTTGTTTAATAAGATTTATGAGAAAATAATACTTATTTTTATAGCATTTTTATGTTTTATTATATAATCTCTTAGTTTTAAAAAAAATGATTTCAATAGGCATTAAGAGAAGCAACAAAAGTTTATTTTGCAATAAATAATAAGTTTGACATAAATTATGTAAAAATGTTTGTTATTTTTTGTGCCAAAGAATACAAAACAAGAAAAAGTTTGTCAAAAAAAGCTATAAATCATAAACAAAACTATTTATTGAAAAATTTTAATAAAACAAAAATTATTGTCTCTTTTTATTATCGCAAAACACAAAAACCCGAAGACTTATTGGTTATACGGAAGGCATTCAAAGGATCAGTCGTCGGATAATAGCAGCACTTGTGGCGACGACACGGACAAGAGGTGTATCGGGAGGCAAACCGAGCGCCTACTGGTCACCGGTGACCAAATGTGTTCGTCCCGGTCGTCATCGTTGGCCGCGTTGGACGACAAGTATAACCGGTCGGCGCTGAACGACAACCGATCGCTAATACCTTTGGTCTCAATGACACAAAACAACACTTTTAGCCAAAAACAATTGAATCGTTTAATGGCATTGCAATTAAGCAAACAATTATTTCTATCTGATAACATCAACACTACGACCACCGCTACTATCGCTGACAACGAGAAAAACAATATTAATTATAATATTAAAAATAACGAGAAAAATGTGTCTATAATTGGCTCCGAAGGACAACTACAACAACAGCCGCCGGCGCTCTCGTCGGTGGCTATCGATAGACTCAATACAATCCACAATCCGCTGATGACCGGCGACGCCGAG